TTTACAATTGTTTAGTAGTTCGAGTTAAACTTTTATTATTAACAAAATAAAATTTTAGTTTCATTTAATAGTATTTATGTGTTATTTTTGTAATAAAACTGTATTTTAATTCAATGTTTATTAGTTTATCAGTTTATCAAATCACGAACTGAACATATTTTAAATATTTATAAACAATAATTATTCGATCAATAAACTAATAAGAATAATCAATAAAATTTTATTAAAATACTACTTGTATCATTCAAATCATACAAACTATTTAGACGCGTTTTATCATCTCTGCACATTTAAAACAATAAATTATCACTTGTGTTTTTGTTTGTTTAACTAATTAAACAAATGGAATTATTTTCTAAAATAATTTGGATTCTTAATAAGATAAGTATAAGATGTTTGTTTATAACTCAGGCATTAATGAACCACTATATTTTTTATTGTTTTTAGCTTTTACAATTTGAAAATACAATTCAAATTTGTATATGTATTTTCAAACTACAATTTCTACAAACCTTTGTTTTTGATTTTTATTTATAAGTATACAAATATCATATTGTTTTGTGCTTAAATTGACATCTTTGAAACACAAGAATTTTGTGTATCACTCTTTTTTTCAAAAAAGTATTATGACATATAAATATGACTTTGTAATATACACGTTATTTAAAAAATTCACATGATTTTACAATACACGTATTTGAAAGAAGTACAAATAAACATGTGCATATTCAAAAATTTAATAATATAATGGTTAACTATTATATTTTATTACAAAAATGTTCGAATAATTAATATATCATTTTAAATATTAATTGGCATTTTTTATTCTTTCTTATATTTTGATTATTTTTCACATTTTGTTTTATCATGGTATTTATAAAATTAATTATAATATTTTTCATGTTCTTTTAAATTTAATAATCATTCTAGTTTAATTTAAATTGAATTATTTGTGAAATATATACCATGTGATTTTTGTTTGCAAAGTTTGGAAAGATTAATTTTGTTATTTTTGTCATGAATATATTTAAAACATTGTGTATATTAAATAAACATTTTTGGGAATTATTTATTATTTTATTTATACAACATGTTTTTAAAATATCATTTAAAGTTTATTGTATTTTATATTTTTTGTTTAACCACTTTTATTTAAATTTGTATTGCTACATAATTTTACAAAACGCAATTATGTTTGACTATCTTTATAACATTTTTATTAAATACGAAAAACATTTTTAATTTCAGTTATAGTTAAAAGATATTAACTGAAAGTTAATAACCGCGAACCTCTAAACACAAAAGTTGTTTTTGTCGTTTTTATGGTTTATTGTTTTTCATTATAATTTTTCAGTAACTATAATTTTGTTTATTTAAACCATGTCTTGTTGTTTTTTATGGAACATTAATTAAACCGATTATTCGATTATTAATGTACTGATAATCTCGTATAAAATTAATTTAACAATAAAGAATTTTGTTTAAATAACATAAAAATATAAACAATTTTGTTGTTGCAGAAACGTAAAAAAACTGTTGCCTTCTTTTTAACAGCTTCCATTCAACTTTACAGATTTAAATAATATAATATATATTAAAATATATAAAATTGTTTACCATAAAAGCCGAATGTGCCTAGTGTAGACTTATCTATTCGAAGTGGTAATTTGTATTTATTTGTAATTGTAATTTTATTAGTTAAAATGATTGTAAAGATAGGAAGAAGTTGAAAAGAAGAAAAAGGTATTTTATCCATTTTATTTAATTATACATACAATCAAATTTTAATGAATAATAAACATTTTATTCATAGAATAATAAAATATTGTTTGTTAAATTAATTAATTTATAGTATATTTTATAATATATTTATATAAAGTTTTATTGTGGTTTTGAATATGATGAATTATGGTTGAGTGGATTTTTTAATTAAAGCCAGTCCTCAAACGTTATATTTTGTAAATAATACAACTTCATAAATATGTAAACATCGGGCATAG